AAAAATATAATACTACAATCGCACTTCGACATGGAAGCTTCAAGATCACCGCCTAACGTAAAGAAACATTCTCAAAGAAATGAATATGATGAAACCCAGGTCATGAATGTACATATGTGGCAGATGTGGCAACAAAATTACAAAAGTCGACCTTTGAGAGCTGGAGGTGTAGTCACGTTACAGGCGAGTCAGTCAACTCAAAAAAAGCATTAGATGAAGATCTCAAACCGAGGGGTTTGGACATCAAAACAGCTAATCTTAAGAAGCATCGGGTCACAAGCAATGCCTCGGACAGAGGGAATAAAAGTGACAATCATAAACTGATAAATCATTTCCAATCCGTCAATCACAAAGTGAAAAGGATTCCACAAAGAATGCTTTACGGTCCATGATTATTTTCGACATTAGTCGCCATATACGGTGAGCACTACACGTCTTCCTCAGCTTCCCATACAGCTCCCATAGCAATAAGCTCCCCTCAAAGGAGGCAGATGGTAAGGGAACAAACGCTCATACTATTCGCTGATACGATTCAAAAGCTCATATGGAATCAAGATGCCTAATGCTGACGGTTCCGTCTTGGTCGGCTCGCTCTCACCCAGACTAATTACAATATACTCCTACAAAACTAGGTAATAGTTGCCGATCATTTAGAGAATTGAATTATGTCAAGTTATACCCAACCCAGACTGAAAGGTTACTCGTGATAGGGCGTATCAGTGCTAGTTTGTTATAGGCACAACATTGCAAGCGAAGGCCACTCATCTTAAAAGCAACAGTGGAAGGTTCTTACACACTCCAGTCACCGCCTCTGACTATTTGCCACTATTTGTTAGAACATCTTTTCTTGTTCTGTTTTTTTTTTAATCTTACCTACACGAAGGAAGGATCCTCTGGAAGCGAAACATCAAATGTTGACAGAAAGCCAGATCAGTTAGGTGTCGAGACCGCCACAAAGTGCCCTTACAATAGACGTGCGCGATGAAATTTCTAGGCGGGGCCACAGCTACAGAGGCTATGGAGCGGCCATGACTGGACCCTTGGGCTAAGTCAATGACTTACACAAACCGTCAAATCCGCCACCACCAATCAACTGCTCCTCAAAGCGTGAGGTAGTAACACACTGAAAAGCGCAAACACCCAAGTGTAGAATACTACCATTCACATTGCTTCCTAAAGCCCAATAAACCAGAAAAATAAGTGAGCACAATCAAAAACTCGAGAAAAAGAGGAGCAGAGAAAATACTGCTCAGATCAAAAAACAAAGTTACGTCTGAGTACCCATACTTAGCTTAAACTAGCCTAACTGTACAGCAAAGACTTTTAACGCGTTGGTTTGTCCACTCGGTTCGGATCATTCACGACCATCACTGCTTTTCTGTACCACTCTTCACCATTCTTGTGAACGTCTTCTGTTTTCTTCGCCACCAGTTCGTCTGGTGTTCCTAAGAACATCAAGTTTTATTAAAAAGCCATAGAGCGCCTGACGTTCAGGTTTTTCAGCATAAAACCGAACGTACCATAGTTAGGAGGGTTCGCATCTGGGTCGTAACCCAACTGCCGCAACATCGGTGCCACACTATCCATTTCTTTTACAACATCCTCAGGTATCACACCCACCCATTTCGACAATGCATCCACATTTACCGGTTTGACAACCTGATAAAAAATATTCGGTTCAATATAAATATACATTATATTAAGTTTCACATAAGACCCAAACTTTCAAAAACGAAAGTTAGAAATAAAATCAAAGCTCTGGATCAAGATGTTAAGAAAAAGCTCTCACCTGATCTGAGCTGCGCTCCACTTTTGATAGAGAGATATCCTTTCCTATAAACTGCTCATGATGCAAAACCGTGGAGTTCCACGGAAGATTCAAGAACTCTAATATTCGCCGCATTTGGGATTCAGGATGCAATACTAGTTGTTCGTAATACACCTAAAATAATGTGTTTATAGTTGTAGTGCGACCTTATTATATCACAAAAAAATATTTGGTTGCTTTTGCAAACAGATACATATCAAAGTAAATGTTGAGCTGGGATCGCTTCGCCTCAAGCGTAAATTACGTCATCACCAACACTCAATTTTCCAGTACTGCAAACTTACTGATGTCGTCCCATTTTGACAAGGATTAGTCCCTCTAAGTCGTCCCAAGAAATTCATACTGTACCATATTTAAAATATATGTATGAGTAAAACGTTTTAGAGTAGCTTATTCTGAGGTAGGGGGACGATGATTCTTCCTATTCTATTCTATACGGTACCATTGGTAACCTACTGAACGTCTTGCATCAAAGCTAAATTTCTATGACAGAAATAAAATAACAAAAAGTATCTAAGCGGCTGCGTTCGTTGATTCCAGATAGGTTTAATATCAAGATTCACAAAGTTTGCAAAGATTTGTCGCCACACTTTCTGTATATAATCTACGACCAATTAGGCATAAGAACATTGAGCTTCTTCAAAATGTCATCCTTGTAAAAATGATAACGGTAAGAGGATGACCTGAGAAAAATGTACGAAAGGGAATGCTACCATTTTCCAATATTACCCACCCGTAAGCATTTACTGCCAATGTTAGCGCATTGTTCATCCATGACTGATATCGCAGCGTTCCATTTAGTTAAACTTTGACGATAGCTAGACAGATCGAAACCAGTAATTGTCACCTAAAAAGAATAATGACGGCTGACTAATAAATACTAAGAATTTTCAAAAAGAAAAAAAGGAATTTTAATGCATAAATAAAAAATTACTTTTCTTGAAATTATACTGTGAACCGTCGCTCTCCCGTCTCTGATCATAAAAATAAACTTAGCATTAGGAAACAGCTCAGCCAAAAACGACGCAGATTTCATTGTGAATGGATCCTTGTTGCATAATCGAGGAGCTGGTGCGCCATGACCAGCAATAACCTGAACTAGCGCTAACTGAAACTCGAACAAATCGGAATGAATTTGGCTGAAGAAAAAAATCGCACAAGTAAACATTGTAATAGTAATAGTAAAAGTAATATAACATGGTTTTCGGTCCTTCTTGGCTTTCTGTCTATTCTTGTCAGACGTTTTCCAGTAGTGTGAGATTACTTTCACAAAGTGTAGGGTATCAAGCATGAATTTCGTTTTAAATCAAAGAAGCAGGTGCCTAAAGCTTGCGCAACTGGCTGAGTGCCCTCATCTAGCAATATTGAGTGGGAGTGGGACAACTCCCACAATCTAAGAAAATCTTGGACTTCGAGTAGAAGCTGCAAATGGTACCATAACCTTGTGTTCAGAATAACATTAGAACATGCGTACGTAGAACTCCATCTAATGAGCTCTGAGAAGTGATGCAAAGAAAGGAAAGGGTAGAATTCGTACCAACCACCTCGAGTTTCACACCCTCGCTCTCAAAGGCTGGTTTCTCTCGAGTTAATGCAACAAATCAGCCTAATTTTCGTCTACATTTCTATAGTGGCCGGGGTGTGGCAGAATCAGTTGGCGCACCATGACATATAGCGCATGGGGATGAGACCTCGGACTAAAATAACCTAGCAGTTCAAAGTTTATCAACTAGGCAGGCTGACCAGACCTTTCATCATTCCTGTCTTCAGTATATCGGTACCAAACAAGACTAAAGGATTGGCCGGCCCCGTAGGTCAGTGAACATACTAAATACACATCTACACGCCACTCGGTAGTGAATGGAAGTTGCTTGAGAGTGTTCCGAAATAAAAATCAAATAACGCTTGGAGGTCTAAGGCTTAAATCTTTGATCGCATTCATGCTAAAGACTTGAAAATCAAGACCAATAATAGAGAATCACATTATGAACGAAGTGCGTCACATTGCAGCAATTATAAGATTGAAGCTACCAATGAGGTGGACTTCTTGAAAGTCGTTGCACTGGCCTAACAAAAGTACTTACGGAACAACAGGTGTACTCCCATAGCCAAATTTATGGAAAAAGAAGCGACTTCTCATAAAAATAATTCGTACAAGTTATGGTATAAGTTTATACCATGCTGGTCAGGAAACCCCATTTAGTGTGTTATACATAAAAAGCGTTCGAATAGAAAACGTTGTACAAATTCCACGAGGAAAACGTTACTGTAATTTGTAAAAGAAGAGAGTAATAAAGTTCACGCACTTGTATGACAAATGATGATATGGCTCTGTTGAGGACTTCATTAGTAACACCCGCTTGCTGTAAACGATTCCACTCCTAAATTTAAAAAGTGATGTACTTCATTTGTTACGCTTGTCTGGAAAATGTCTAGAAAATCTTTGATATGACAAAAACAAAATGAAAGGCATTTACTGCAGTTTTTATGAAACGCTTAAAGAAGTTTTGACAAAGTCAGGACGGATGCATTACCAGGGGACGAAGCAGTACGACATTTATTACTCCTATCGGCCCAACTCCCTTTCGAGATTTTGTCTGCAACGTCTCGAATAGTTTGACGCGCTAGAAGGCATCCAATGAGCCTAGCGCAAGAGGCTTGAGAGCGCCTCTTTACCCAAAAAAAGGTTGAAAGCGACTCTCAGATGTTTTTTGACTCACGGATCACGAGTACTGCAAGTGCCATAATCAAGCTCGTCTAGCGTCCACGTCATGGCATAGGCACCCAAGAAGCTATAAGGGCTCCGCGAAAGGTCACAACCTTTAATGCGATATTTGTAATCAGCTTGTTTGACTACTGCTGATAAGTATTTCACGGTCTCAGCGTCATGGGTTCCGAAGCCTAAGAGATTTTATGTTCATGTTAAAAGAGCACATTCTAAATCAACTGTACTACGATCTATGGGACAAAATCATGAATGATCAATCTGAAGTTATTAAAAAATGAGGTGCACTAGACAATTAGTGCCTGCATATTTTTGTGCAGCTCCTCATTTTTGCAATGATAAATCAACTTCTAAGACTATCATCGATGAAATTCGATATGGAAGTGTGTCAGAACAAGACACTTTTGGTCGAGAGCACTCTGATCGAAATTATGACATTCCTCTACTATACTTTGCAAACGATGAGACTTCATAAGAAAAACGGTGAGCAAATAACACATGCAAATAAAAGCTGAAAGTTATAACTGTGAACCTTTTCACTTCTCTTCCATTGCGCTCGGAGACCAAGTATCCTGGGTATAACTCTCGTCTCCTCGCCACATCGCACATCCGGATGAGCGTCTAACATAGCACGCATAAGTGTAGTGCCTGATCGCGGAACGCCACCTTTAATGAGTTGATAGATGAAAATAAATGAAAATCATTAACGAAACTGGATATTTTCGATGACTTGCCGATGAATATAAACGGTGATTTTTCATCCACTTCGCCATAGGGAGTAGGTTTCATCAAAATATTATTGTCACCACGTTCGAATGCTCTGAAAATTTCAATAGGAAAGCAGAAAGAACAAACGTTTTGAAAATACAAGCGCAGAAAGAACAAACGTTTTGAAAATACAAGCGGAAAAAAGTCTTTGCTTGTGTTGATAGCATGGTGAGATCATTAGAGAGGCAAATCAAACTATTCTGCGTTTGAAGGTGAAGAAAGCAGTTTATAACACTGAGATCACAATCGACGAATTGATAGCAACAGTTCAAGCCTCAAGCATTGTTGCTATTCCTATACAGACACTCACATTTATGGAGTATCATAGCCCGACTAAGGGTCACTGTCTGATTGCAGTGATTCTCGAACAAGCAGTCGCCAAGTGTGATCGCATCGCACACCGAACTTATTTGGCACAGCTTTTCCTTGCTGAAGGTGCCATTCGAAGGAAGCAGTGCAAACAACGTTTGACAAGAATACGGTAATTAAATAGATTGATGCCTACGGTCAAATATCAGTGGCACGGGATACTGATTACAACTACTGGAAGATATGAGCCTCCCAGGAATTCTGATTCAGATTTCAATCAAGGTAGAGCAGGTACGCTAAAGTAAAGACCAGTGCTTCAAAGATTGGAAAGTTACAAAAAACGCAGCTTGAATAGCACCTCTAGCTGGGAAAAATTGCTCGGATACCCTACTACTACGTTATTACTTACAATTAGGCGAGTCATAAATTCCACTCCTATTTTTCAAGCCGGCAGATGTTTTTAGAACATATCTCCTCTTAGAAATTCTCCAAGCACCGAAGCTTCTACAGAAGCAACATATTAATCTCAACGAAAGCCCAAGCGCTAGAATAAACGACTAACAAGCTATCAAAAAATATTCCCGCTCCTTCCAGTAATGACTTAACCAAGCGCCACACTTGCAACCCACACCTCTGTTTACGTTGCACCTCACTTAAAGAAACTTTTTATAGCTCGACAAGTCAAATCAGACAGCATCATTCAGCACTGAGTTTTCACTACACTTTGGTAAAGGAAATCTGATGAAAGGAAACTGAAAGTAATGAAAACATAAACACTTACCTCGAAGAAAACAACAAATAGGTAACGCATAGCATACCAAAAACAACCAAATATATGTATTTGAGACGTCGCATATTGTCGGCGATGAATCTCATGAAACGGCTATCGCATAACGATCTGTAAAGACGCGAATCTCAAGGATGGATGAAACGAAGCGTTCAACTATCAAAAGCCACGTTAAAGAACACAACAATTATGGCAGGATACTACTTAAGAAGCTAGTAAATACTACAAAATTGGTCAGACGTGGCTGGGGCGAAGCAAGGAGAAAAAGAAATGTAAGTTCCATGTTCCGTATAATCAAAGTCTCGACAGAAAACGAGGAGAGAATCCTAACTAATCACAGTTCTAATAGGTTAATATGATTAAATCTCAAATGTGTGCGGAATCACAATTAATTGCATGGCTATGTACCCTATGTCTATGCACGTCCAGAAAAATACGACCATGCTGGAGGCATAACAGAGGTTTCGATATGCGGAATGACATCGCCCTGAATTCAGGCACCACGTTTGCCCTGATTCCAGTTTTGGAAACTGCCATCTACAACGTGCATTTCAAACTTTGATTTGCTGACCAAGCGGCACAGGCGGTGTAGTTTGAAATGGTTCAATAACACACCCATAAGATGGGAATCAAATTGTGATTGATATCCATCTGCGCCAATCCAGCCTTCCATTCTTTCGAAATCGGATGTTGGCAGCAGGCTTGTCTGAGGGTCGTCTATACATCGGTAATTAACCGCAAGCCATTCTGTAGAGCAACTGCTATTTAGAATGAAAGTTGAATGGAGGGGCGCATCCGAAAAACGGGATTGATCAACGGCAAACTTCTTTATGCTTTGATTTTCAGCATTGTCCGGTGTTCACTTGTGGAAAATTGATGATATTCTCGTGATACAATTAGGCTTTTGGTTTTTTACATGAAATCGGGTTAGAGCTGCAGAAACCTTCTTCCACGGAGACAGAAGGCTATTACATGGAGAACTGGGAGCCCCAAAACAACCGCTTTTGATGCCGACACTCTTCACCGAGTACTTCATGCAGCTTGAGCTTTGCATGATTAGCGTAGCAAAGCCTACTCGAAAGAGCCTACAACCGTAATTGCGACACATAAATATGGACGACTGAGGAAACGAGTAAGTTGTGAGAAATGCACTGCCTCTGTATGAGATCATTGCTAGAATAGCCCAAATGTATGTACCTTTTGACTGATCACTCAATCAGCAAAGTTTGCATGATAGCTTTGCCGACGCATTGAGTGACCATGTCAAGAGAAGCTCTGAATTCAGAGGAGGCATAATTAGCTGGACAACCTTTTCCAGGTCGAAGAGTAATCCTACAGTGCACCAGGGTCTTTCACCACCGAATAGTCCCCTGATTTCAGAGCAATTTCTGTTAATGTACAGCACCGGTTGTAGCTTTGCCAGGAGAAGGCATCTGACAGATTGCTGTAATTAGCTGCCAACTGCAGCAATACACTCACCAAAGGAAGGTTTCAACTTTCAAAGAAATTTTCACAGAGATCTTAGATATCGTATGTTGGATGGCTATTTACAAATGTGGGAATAGATAATGAATGAGTAACCGAAGCAAGCAGTGAGCGCTCAAAGCTCGGTCAAAGTCTCGTCGGTTTGAACAGCAGAGTTATGCGTTTGGCAGTCAGATCCGCCTGGCATAACGGCACGAGTCTTCATCTTCATGTGGGGTGGGGGGTGTGAGATAGTTCTTGCGGTTGCGAGAAATTTCGCAGTATTATTCCTCACCTGCAAGATTTTTATGCATTCTCTGATGCTTATTCAAACGAGGGTCCTATTTCGATTTTATNNNAAACTGGTTCCACACGTTTATCATATGATTCTCTTTTATTATCAACATTGGGAAGATAGCAATTGCTTTTGAATGGTCCTACAATTTACATGCACATTCAATCCATATTCCGTAGGCGCGAAGTGGCGTAAAAAACGACGGATGTAAGGCGCTTATTTGAATAGCCAGAAAATGCTTTCATGTTTCACTGGAAAGGAAGCAAACTATGCAAAACTTTCTGCAACAACAGACAGTAAACCTAACACTTGCGCCACTGAAAAAATCCCTACCACTACGCTATCGCGAATAAACGGATTATCAATCGGTGGGCCGCATGCACTGACCCATACTCCCTTGAAGCATATTTGCTAGGGAAACTCAGATCAAAGTTTAAAATTTCATAATAACCACAGCATCCTGAACTCTATATATCCAGACCTTCTAGAGAGTTTCGTTGTAACTTGAAACCCTCTGTGTGGTACAGTTCGATTGGTCTTGGTCGACAGTCATAGCAGGAACCCTGATCAAGTAGGTTTTTTCTGTCTTCTTATTAGATTTCCTGGTGTACCAACCCCAGTTTGATCAATGCTATTTACGATGAAATTCTGATGATATTCACTCAGATCAGTGGGTAACCCATAGAGTGATAGATAACCTACTTCCTTTTTCGTCATTTTGTCGGATGCTGTAGAAACAGAAGCTGCACTGAGCCTATGAAGAAGGATAAAATGCAGGTATCTGACCCTGATCGATTCAACTCCCGTCTTCCAAGACCTTTCCTTGGTTGCTACCGCGTAAAGACAGAGGTAACTAGTCTCGCTAGAACCTAACTTCAAAATTTGCTGAAGAAAAAAATACAAGTAATCCTGAATGCAAAGAAAAGCAGAATATAAACTTTTCATTAATAAGCTACGACTTAGTGCTAATGTTCGGCTGCATAAGACGCTTTGAGGAAAAGTTTCGATGACTGCGGAGCGTAATTTCTAGAAGCCCAAAGATTTGAGAGATTAGAAGGAGAACGATCGATAGAGAAAAGGAAAAAACGCTGACGAAAAAAAGGGAAACTTCGACGAGATTGAGAAGAATTGGAAAGTCCAATCCAATAATGTTCTTTGAACACACGTGCACAGAACTTCTGCTGACCTCTTTATATTGAAATTGAGCATAACGTGTTATCATGCAAACGGAAAAAACTTTAATTTCACAGTTGATTACATCTTTCGGAAATTGAAAAGAGCTCCGCGAGACGGCTAGTCTTCAAATAAACACCCGAAAAGAACTTTCAAATCAAAAGCTGCACGGATTAGAAGGCTGCAGCACTGAAGGACATCCTCTAGATATAGTTGATTACATCTTTCGGAAATTGAAAAGAGCTCCGCGAGACGGCTAGTCTTCAAATAAACACCCGAAAAGAACTTTCAAATCAAAAGCTGCACGGATTAGAAGGCTGCAGCACTGAAGGACACCCTCTAGATATCGTGTGTTGCCACACTTTCAAAATGGTAAAACTAGTTTTAACATAATTTTGTCCCATTCAACAGGTTCGAACTAATAAATCACCTGCACCGTGAGTGTGATAGCTACAGCTGTACAATCACGGTAATCAGGCAACATAACCTAAACCTATCTACGCAACTAGCGAAAACTCGGCTGATGACGTGCGTGATTTTCGAGGTAAAAATTTGATTGAAAAAAAATTCAGAGAGAAACTATGATAAATAACCACCTTTCTAAAATGAGTTGCACGCAGAAAGTCTAAACCGAACGCAGGAAAAGGGAAGGGAAAACATCAGAACAGATATCAAATATTTATGAACAATAACAAGAAAAGAAGTATAGCATGAGCAAGTACCAGTGCAGCGGAAGACTGCCATTCTGTGCAGCACTAACACAAAGAGAACTCGCTGATGTATGAAACAAATCCTAATAACAGAGAAGCTAATATGTGGCTATCCGCCGAGCAACAACAAGCAACATCTCGAACATTGCCTATTTTGACCACGAGCAAAGTTACAGGACTCTCTCCTGGATTGAAAAGGTATCGTTGTGTGGGGTAACACAAAACCTCTCCTTAGACTTGTAGAAGTGCGGAAAACGACAAACATGGATAATCCAGGCTAAGA